ACACTTCCCCTGTAGTCTCAGAAAACTGCTGATCTCCATGGGGTTGAAATTGGTAATGTTTGCATCTAGCTTGTGGGTTAATTCCTCAGTAGTAGAGTCATATGGATAATGAAAACTCCAAATATATCTTTTGAGGGATAAATAAAATTTTAGTTTGAAAAAATATACCATGTTAGTGAATAAGTTTATTTTTTAATATGTTTGGAGCATTAATGTAAATAAGAAGCAACATAGTAAGATATTGTTATTAAATAATAATTAAAATATGTTTTAGAAAAAAGTTGTATTCATTCCTAAATTCAGTGTATTCAATGGCAAGTGATATAGAAAATACTCTTTTTTAAATGAAAGGCATATTCGTAAAGTTTCTCATAATCATTAAGACCATAATATTGTATCAGGTCTATTAATTTAGGAGTTCATCTTTTTACCTATAAAATGTTGTTTAAGTAAAATCTGCAAAACTTCAGGTTTTTATATAGTATTCTCTTTTAACTGCTGTGACTTCAAAGAAGATACACAGATTATGACATCCCTTATATTAGAGAACTGTAGCTGTGTGATAAACAACCTCTGCTAACCTGAGAAAAATAATGGTTTCCTTTTAAAAGGAAAAGCAGGAGGTGTAGGGGTAGAGGAAGAAGGATTATTGAGCAAGTTAATTAGAAACAGCCCAAGGGAAAAGTTAGGAAATTAAAACCCATAGAATCAGCATGACGGCAGCTAAAAATATATTGTCATAAGATATACCAAGGGTGGGGAGCGGCAAGGAGGCAAATAAAGAATTTGATTAAAGAGCAAGATTTTTTTTCAGGTGTTTTGATTTCTACATTTCTTGTGACCCAGCCTCAGTAAAACAGTGGGGTAATAATTACTCTTTGCAGATTCATGGTAACCTTTAGAATAAGATTGCTAGGCACTTAAATATCCAAGGTTAACATTTGCTCCATCAGAAGAAAACTTGCCACGGGAAAGCAAATGTGTATGAGTGGTATACAACACAGATTTTCCCTTTGAATTTAGAAAGTACTTGGATACCATTTTGTGAATAATGAAGACTCAAGAAAGGGAAAGTGAAAAAATAAATATAATCTTTATTTACACTAAAAAATGATTGAGAAGTTGTGGTGCATTGTCCTGGATGGTAATAGAAAGCTAAAATTATTGTGAGGCAGATTTTAGAGCCAGTTTCTACATTAAAGGTTTATGTAGCTTTGAAAGTAAGATCTGTTCATCTATTCGAATGGTACTTTTCTTGAATAAAGTAATTTATAATGCTAATTTTTATTTTATTAAATGGGAAATGTCAACAAAAGGCATCCCTCAATTTCAGATAAGAATTATGAATGTATACATGCCATGGCAAATGTCTAAAATGTGTTATGTCAGACACAGTGACGTTAAGACTGTGCACAGTGGCTGAATTTCTAGAAGTTAGGGGCATGCTGAAATGCTTACACATACGTGAATAAATAAATTTATACAAGTATAAAAAAATATATTGAATACATATACCTGTGTGGTTTTCAACACAATATAAAATAGGACATATTCTGTGAACTGACAAGCCACTTTGAAGAGGTGAACTATGTGGTTTGCTTGTGTTTCCAGTTCTGTGTTTTTTCTTAAAATAGCGTTTGTTGGTTGCATTTTTAACTAGATCAACTATGTAAGTTTAATTTTTAAATAATGACACTTATTAAAAAGAGTGTATGGGATTTTTTAAGAGCTTTACTATTCTATATTATACCTCACTAACATGAATTTTTATAAATGCCTACTGTAATGCATTAACATCTCGTTGTCAGTGATTAATAAAATATGTCATTGACATAGCTCACTGTAGTTTTCTGTTTCGGTATTCAGAATTATTACTCAATATTGGGCCAGTGTTCAGATTTAATGGCTCCATTTCTTGTGAATTGAATTACACAGTCTATCCTGCAGTTCCAGTGTGGATTTCTTACATACAAAAGCTAACAAATCAATATCTGTGTTAAGTGATTAGAAGCAGAAGTTGCAAAAAAAAAAAAAAAAAAAAAAAAAAAAAAAAAAAAAAAAAAAAAAAAAAAAGCTGTGCACTTGTTGGAATGTGATACATTTGGTCAAGTTCCTTTCAGTTTGTTTTTTAAATAAATGAAACATTTAAACTTCCCCCCAGCACACCCCCAACTTTTTTTTTTTTCCTTAGAAGTGTTGGTAGGTAGTGATTTCCTAGGGCGGAAAGCATCTTAGGACAAAAGCACAGAAAAATTATATTCCTTTGCTGGTTCTACCACAGGTTCTTCATGTGAAGCATGTATCTTACAGTATGTTGGGTTCCCCACTTGTAAAATGAAAGAGGCATGTTAGCAAAGATACTGGTTATTTTCCTTGTTCTTTGTCTTCCTAATGGAAACAATTTTATTTTAAACACCCAGTGCATTAACCAGCATAGTGGGTTGTTGCCCTAGTTAGAGCTTAAATAATCTTTAGAAGCATTTGGTTTTGTGGAGGGTTCCTTTTTGCATGGCTTAGTAAGTATGAGCTTGTTTAGTGAACCATGATACAGATTGTTTTAAGCATAAATTCAGAGACCATGACTGAATTGAATTTTTGAGAATTTATTTTCTTACTATTTTAGGTCTTCTGTAATTTTTTGTTTTTTAATCTAGGACTAATAATTCTTCTCATTTGTTCTAAATATTTGAATTAACTGTCAACAGAACAAAACATCAATGTAGCATGTCATCAAGGCTACAGGTAGAGGATGAATACTGTGGATTTCATTTATATTGAATAGAGATTGCATTGCATATTTCAGGTGGTCCACTTAAGCTCCTGAAAGACTTCTAGAAAGAAGCAGTGATTAATCCTTTTAATTATAAAGCCACAGCCAAGCTAGGCTGTTGTGTGCCTTAAGACAAAATTCATCAAAATTAATATGCAAACATTTCTGCAAGTAGCCTGTGATCTTTCTCAATAAGAACATTCTCACTGTTTTGTATCAGTCATGTATGATTTGATTATTAGGTAAAATGCATTACAAAACCTTCTTAGGACTTCATATGAATATAAAATTCCTTATGAAATATCTAGGAATACTTAGTGCTTTTTATGTCCCATGGGTGGTTAGTAAAACTGGGTCTGGAGTCTGGAAAACACTTTTTTTTTTTTTTTTTTTTTTTGCCCCCCCCCCCCCCCCCGGAGGTGAGAAGATCAGAAAGTTATATTTTAACCTATTTTAACCTTTCTCCAGTTAACATTGAAGGTGTTAGTCCTTTTATTGTTGGAGGCCATTAGTTAAGGGCATAGACCATTCTGTGGGCAGTGGCTCAGTTCCTTAAATCCACTGCCTCTGAGCTGCAAGGTTTAACAGACAAATTTTAACTCTGCGCGAGTGTGTGAGGACCTGATATGAGTCAAGCGATTCATATGGGAACTTAATCTTAGTTACAGGCATAAACGTGACTCCTTGTTTTGTCATCTCTGATACGTACAGTGTAATTGCTCACAATGCTTTTCAGTAAAATGCATGTTTTAATAAAATAAAAAAATAATTGGTTTCCCAATTGAATTTTTAGACTCATCTGGTTTTTAGTTTGTTGATACCTTATAGCAACTGCTATTTCATTATGAGGTTGTATCCTTCTGCAACAACTTCTTATACTGCTATAATTACATTAAGTTCTTGCAGGCCATTAGCGTAGGTCTATACTGTGTAGCTAATTTGTCATGGCACATTTGGATAACGAGTTGTGTATGACTGACTAATTAGTTCAGGGTCTTACAAACACAGTTTTGCTCCCAGTTGTTTTACGTGCACATAAAATAATCGATTCTATTTCAGGTAAACTGCCCTTTTCCTGAGGTAATTTTTGGATTATTTTATGTCAGGATAGGGACAGGGCATGATCTGAATGTATTGTTCCAAGTAAAACTTTTAACATGAATCATGCAACTTCTTTTGCATTGTAGCCCCACTACATACGTTTTGGATGAAGATGAGCCTCGCTTCCTTGAAGAAGTTGATTACAGCGCAGAGAGTAATGATGATCAAGACATTGAATTAGCTGATAATGCGGGTGATTATGAGGCAACTAATCAAGAAGATGGACTTTCAGACTCAGATTCAACAAGGATACTCTTTCCTTGAACCACCTCTTCCGCTAGCAGTAGGAAATTAAGTATCCTGGATTTTCATAGCCAAATACTTCCACATTCTTATCTACAAAGGGGATAGGCTTAAGGAAACACAAAAAACTGGGGCATGCCTAGCTCAAGGACAATAAATATTTCAGATTCCTGATAAATTGGCATTTGTATTATTTAAGGAGTTCTGTGTTTTCTTTTAGCACTAAATAGATAAATTTATTTACCAGTTCATTTTCTACTAAATAGCACTGCATGGTGTTTTGTGTCCTTCAGAAAAATGGTTTATAATTTGTGGTGTGTCAGAGTACAGGAACTAATTCTTTGTGGTACGATTCTTTGAGCTGCTTCCTGAAAAATACATATGTACAGATTTTCTAAATTAATTTGTGTATGTGTATATGCGTGTGTGTATACTGAGGTGAAGAGGTTATTTTTCAACATTATTTCAAAGATACTTGATTGTGTTTGAAGTAACGTAGTGCCTGCTCTGGAACAGTTCAATAATTACTAAATTAAAAATTAAAAAGTGGTGTATGAATTGTTGCACTTGTTTCTTGTTTCTAAGGATTGTATGGTTTTGCCACCATACTAGGTGACAAGATATAATGTCTGTTCACAGTTAGGGAATTTTGCACAGTGACCAATGCAGCCTGTGCTTACAAGAACTACACA